CTGGCTTAGGTCTGGGAGGATTTTTCTCTCTCTATTGAAGTTTAGAACTTTATATCTCCATGCTTGGATACAGTTGAGTACTTGTACCTGGTTGATGGGGTTCTGAGAGTTCTTCTACTTCCCAAGCCCAGCCTGGGGCCAGGCTTGACTTGTGAGAGCTTAGTCCATCAGGGTCACTGACTACAGGTAAACAAGTGTCCAACTTGTACAGTTGATTATCCATTTTTTTTTGTCCTTGAAGTCAAAGGCTCGTTTGACTATTCTCAAGGTTTGGTTGGCTTATTTTTTTAGAGTACTCCAACTCCCACTTCAGCAATGTTCAAAAACTGGTGACCATTTTTGGAAATATTGTAGATCTCCTTGCAAAGCCAATTCAATTTCTTTCTTTATTATGCACCCCATACCCATCCCGTGGGCGGTGGTATAAAGGATTACAGAGGCACATAATCGGTTTAGGAACTGAACCCTCTAGTTCGTTTAGCTAAGCCAATAACAATCTTTTGACGCTAGTTACAAAATTATTAATGTTATGTACACATACTCATGCATATATGTACATATACATATGTATACAAATATACATACACATACATATTTAATCACCCACTCAAATACACACATCAATACTCTTTTGTGTGACAAGTGATTCAACAAGAGGCTCACAACAGTCACTATACAAGGCACTTTACATCTATGGTGAGTCACACAGTTACTAGTCTTGCTCCACACCCACCCAACTGGGCGGCAGCTTTACAGTCATGTGCTCCACACCCACCCAACTGGGCGGCAGCTTTACAGTCATGTGCATGCATTACCTACAGTAGCAGTCTCCGTGGTGTAGTGGTAAGACACTCGCCTGGCGTTCCGCGAGCGCTATGTCATGGGTTCGTATCCTGGCCGGGGAGGATTTACTGGGCGCAATTCCTTAACTGTAGCCTCTGTTTAACGCAACAGTAAAATGTGTACTTGAATGAAAAAACGATTCTTCGCGGCAGGGGATCGTATTCCAGGGACCATAGGATTAAGGACTTGCCCGAAACGCTACGCGTACTAGTGGCTGTACAAGAATGTAACAACTCTTGTATATATCTCAAAGTAAGCAAATTTTGGATACTTCGCTAAGATTTCGGGCAGCACATCATTATGAATGAAGTACTTACACATTTCTTGGACACTATTGATGGTGTTATCTCTAAATTCCGCGATTTTATCACGTTCCATTATATTATGACACAAAGTATGCGAATAGTTCTGCTGACAGAGTTTACATTTAGTCAAATCTACATCAGCAGATGTTACAAACTGCCAGAGGTACTTGTAGCCGAGCCTAAGCCTAGCAGTGGTAACATCTAGAAGTCTGCTAACATTATTGGATGACCCATAGACGTTCGGTACTTCCTGCATAATAGAATGATAGATGGAGTAACTGGTGTGAATTTCACTTTGCCTCAAGTCTCCGAAATTTAGTTGATGTTCCCGGAATATTACTGCCCTCAGGCTGCTCAAAGGCAGTCCAAGTTGGTAATCAATTTCTCAAATAGTTTTCGCTTAGCTTCATTTGTAAATTTGATGATGTGGTTTGTAATATTCTCATCTGTCATTGATATACATAACAAAAAGGTTTGGTCCCGCTATGGAGATTTGCGGGACTCCACTCACTCAGCCTCTTCTCAGACCAAATCCATTGCCATGACACACCACACCCACCTCAAATCTCGCGTTATCTATATATTTGTGATGGTTTGAAAGCATATTACAGTTCCAGTAATAGTCTACACGTAAATTGGCTAATGAACCTTTGTCGTAAACAGAGATTATTATCAAGTTATAACTTTAATGTAATATGAATCGTCGGTTTAAAATATAAAATGTGCATGCTGAAAATATTTTGTTTAAAGAATTTGGTTTTCTGTGAGCGTAATTCGCGGGCACACTGAAATAGTTTTTGAATTTGATATTTCACATCATCATCAAAAATACATTGTATTAACATAACCAAATGTAATGAAACCAAACCTAACCTAACGGGGCCTGACAGCTGAGTGGACAGCCCTTCGGATTCGTTGTCCTGAGGTTTCGGGTTCGATCCCCAGTGGAGACGGAAACAAAATGGGCAGAGTTTCTTTCACTCTGGTGCCCCTGTTCACCTAGCAGTGAATAGGTACCTGGGAGTTAGACAGGTGCTACAGGCTGCTTCCTGGGGGTGTGTAACAAAAAAGAGGCCTGGTCGAGGACCGGGCCGCGGGGACGCTAAGCCCCGAAATCATCTCAAGATAACCTAACCATTGATAGAGGGTAGATAATAGCACAAATTATGCAGTCGTCCCAGTCCATTCTCATGAGGGGACCTCCTCCCTGAGGACAGGTTGACTAACCACATTTTCCCAGCCAGATTCATGTCCATTTAGGACGAGCCTCTGCTTTTATGTGTGTTTACCATTATTTTATTCATTCTAGTATTTTGCCATTTATTCACCTGCGTGTAATTTCCCTGCCAGTCTCTCATATGGTAGAGACTCCAGTTTTGGTAGTTTACAATTAAGGCCTCAGTAGCAGACACGGACATCTTGTAATTATTTTAATAAGCCTTCCAAAGGGCAGCAAAAACAAAATGATGTGCGGACCAACCAGGCTGTAGTTGACATGTGGGCCTGAGGGCCGCTCCAAGCAACAGCCTGTTGGATTAAGCTCTCAGAGGTGAACCCTGGCCTCAGGCCGGGCTTGGGGAGCAGAAGAGCTCTCAGAACCCCTTCCAGGGTACTCGGCCATGCACCTTTCCCCTATACCTCGACATGATATAAATTATTCAGTGGAATCGTTTTTTTTAAGGGCTATTCATGCCCGTGCCTCCTCTTGGGTGGCTTAATCTTCATCAATTAGTCAATCATCGTTGTTTGTTGTTTTAGATTTAGCTACTCTGCCCGAAATGTCCATGTAGCAAGGGCTATAGTGAGTCCGTAAAAATGGAATCACAGGTTGTATAATTTTATGTGGTGGTAGAAGGGTAAAGTGCGCGGCTGGGAATATCCTGATCACTGGTTCAAGCCACCTCAGTACTCCAATTGATTTTCGACAATGAACTTAATATTATTCAGGATAATATGGTAGTTCATTGAATATGGTATTTAGGAAGACATCCTAATCATTTATCCTTCATTTCATGTCCATATTAAAGAATAAAGAGCAATTTGTCTAATAGCTGCGTCTCATGAATCTATTCCTGCCTTGTGTGACTGCATTCCAAATTCGTACCATGATTAATATTTGAACCCTGAACCAAAGTGAACCTATGTATAATAATTGATGTAGTATATTGTAGCTTCAAGAAATATATACCTGTATGTGCTTCACTCTACAATTTAGACCTATTGTGTTGTGTATGACCCTCTGTCCTCTGTAGCAGTGAATACGAGCAGCGCCTCACTGTAGTAACACATAAATGAATTATTTAGATTAGGTAGAATGGTATATTACTTTTGTCAATAAAGATGTCAATAATCTATATAAATAAAAATGGAAATGTTCGTTTGTTCAAAATCGCTAATCTCCGAAAGTTCTTCACCGATTGCTTTGAAATTTTCACACAACGTTCCCTTCGCATCCGAGCAGGTTTTTATATGCTTACTATATAGATGTCACGTCTGTGACGGTAAAAAAATGTTTTTTCTGAAAAACTGTGTTTTTTATGTGAGGGAAATCTTCGAAATCTCTTTACCGATTGCTTTGAAATTTTGACACAACGTTGCACTCGAATAGGCGCGTCTTTTTATATATCTACTATATACATGCCTCACCTGTGACAGGCAAAAGCATGTTTTTTTTTTAAACAGCGCCATCTGTTGGACGTAAGAGCAACACACGCTATAATCTCTGAAAGTTCTTCATCGATTGCTTTGAAAATTTGACACAACATTGCATTCGAATAGGCGCATCTTTTTATATACCTACTATATAGATGCCACCCCTGTGACAGGTAAAAACATGCGTTTTTTAAAAACAGCGCCATCTGTTGCACATAATAGCAACATGCACACTATACTAAATATGTCACGAATTCCATTTCAATGTTTCTGATTGCATTGATAAATTTTATTTTCATAGATTTTTATTTATTTTATTTTTTATTTAATTATTTTGTGGGACATTGTGTTGGAATTGAGCTGTGTTGTTTACCATACCAATCATTTTGTAAGTATAAGTATAGAGTATTTACCTGTGACAGGTAAAACTATGCTTTTCTTGAAAAACAGTGCCATCTGTTGCATGTAAGAGCAACACACATGCTATATTAAATATGTTACAATTCCATTTTAATGTTTCTGATTGCATTGATAAATCGAATTTTCATAGATTTTTATTTATTTTCATTTTGATTTAATTATTTTGTGTGAATTGCGTTGGAATTGAGCTGTGTTGTTTACCATACTGTTCATTTCATGAGTATAGTTTTTTTTCATATTTTCATTTTATTTTAAATGTTTTTCTTATATTTCAGTGATGGGAACATCAGATCACTTAATGTTCCCAATTTTCTGGTGGGAACATCAGACCATTTGGGAAGGCATCGGACGAGGGAGTGAGGAATGGTGGGGATGACGAGGGGACGAAAGTGAGAGATGGTGGGGAGGACGAGGAGACAAGGGAGGGGGTAATGGTGGGGAAGGACGAGGGGACGGGGGAGTTTACGATGGTGGGGACGAGTGGATGGGGGAATGGAGGATGGTGGGGAGGACAAAGGGACAGGGGAGTGGGGCATGGTGGGAAGGAAGAGGGGATGGTGGGGGAAGACGAGGGGACGGTGGAGTAGGGAATGGTTGAGAGGTCGAGGAGACGGGTGAGGGGGGAATGGTGGGGAAGACTGGGGACAGGGAAGGTGCTGAGCCACAGCAACGCGTGGCTGGGTACTGCTAGTAATAATAATAAATATGTCCTGCTACTGAGGTGGCACAAGTTTTATCTTCAGTCTATTGATAAATTAATATTTTGTTCTGTCTTTGCAGGTGTTTGGTTAATATTGGCGGTAGGAGAGCTTAAGTCAGGTGTGTGCCAAAGTATTAGCGAAGAGGCTGCTACCTTCACCCCGGCGTCTGCCTCGTATGCGGGGGTGACAGACGGGCGTGGGCAGCTGGAGACACGACACAGTCAACTGCTAGACAACACACTCACTGAGGAACCCACATTAGAGGTAAGGAGTTGGCGTACAATACCATCTATACCTCTTGTCTAACTCTTGTTGGTTCCGGGAATCATTGACCCTGCGGTCCGGTCTTTGATGAGGCCTCCTGGTTGGTGGTTCTGGTTAACTTAATTTTTAGACGCCGCTGCTCGAAGTCTGACGTATCAATCACAGCCCGATTGATCGGGTATCCGTCGTAGCTGTGGGGCCAAACATGGTTCAACATGACTGTAGTGTGATGTGATTTATTCAAAGAAAACTTCCTGTCCTTGTGCTTATTGCACAGCAGTTCTGACGCTTATGCACTCACCGTCAAACTTCATATGCTTTATTGAAATTTTAACCATCACAAAATTAGCCGTAACTTAGATAAGGTAAGTTGGGTTACTGAGGTTTAAATTCTTCTGGTTAGGCAAAACTACAGTATTTCACATTGGACACTTAACGAATTTATGGATATAGATAGGAGCTGCCTCGTATTGGGCCAATAGGCCTTTTGCAGTTACCTTCATTCATATTTTCTTATCTTTTTAAATTGAAGGAACTGGATGTTGTTGCACAGTCAACTCCCAATCTATTGGTCCCTGGTTCGATTCCCGAGCAGGGCGAATATGTTTCCTTACCCCAGATCTATTGGTTCACTTAGTAATAAATAGATACTGTACCTGGTAGTTAGTGGAACGTTGTGGGTTGCACACTGGAGGTCAGTCATTGCTGTAGGCTTCGTTATGCGAGCCCTTGCGAACCCCTGCCACCAGACTTAACATTATGACTCTTGAAGGAAAAAGAAGAAGAATCAGACTAACCCCCATCCGCTACACATCATTGAACAGATGAATATAGACGCAAACTTTGTATCTGACAGCTTCACATAGTTCACAGATGGATTAGTAGACCAGCAGGGACAAGAATCCGGAACTACAGGAAATTCTGAAGTTGGGAAGGCAACTACAGAATTTGTATTCTCAAATGGGTGTTCAAATTTACAGAGATGCTAGCCATCCAAAAAGCTTTGGAACTTGCTCTTGCTTAACACCAACAACTTTACATTGTTACTGTTATTACAGTATATATATATATACAGATTCGAGAACTGCCACTGAAACTTTGCAACAAGAACACTTTTTTTTTTTTTAGATATATACAAGAGTTGTTACATTCTCATACAGCCGCTAGTACGCGTAGGGTTTCGGGCAGGTCCCTGGAATACGATCCCCGCCGCGAAGAATCGTTTTTACAACCAAGTACTCATTTTACTGTTGAGTTAAACAGAGGCTACAGTTAAGGATTTGCACCCAGTAAATCCTCCCCGGCCAGGATTCGAACCCATGACAAAGCGCTCGCTGAACGCCAGGTGAGTGTCTTACCACTGCACCACGGAGACTGCTAAATGACATATGACATATGACAACAATCATCTGACCACAAATGTCATACCGTTAATGCAAAGACTTAAACGTCAAGGTCATTAGATACTTATCACCTGGATGCCAATTCATATAGCAGACAATATATAGGACACGGCAAACCTCCAGTCTGATGTAAATCGGGTCTTTCGATCGGCCATCGGCCATATTGTTTAATGAAAATAAGTTCCAGCTCCTGCGCTATGGAAAAAACGAAAATATAAAAAAGCGAAACCATATATAAAACTCAATCAAATTACACTATAGAACAAGAATGGAATGTAAAGGATCTAGGAGTAATCATGTCAGAAGACCTTACCTTGTCAGAAGACCTTGACCTAGATTCAGGAAGCTCTGTGTATTTCTTCGTAAGTGGGTTTGCTACGAAGGTTCCTAAGTGCGCCCTAAGAAGATGCTTAGGTGCAATTCAATAAGGTATACTTAGGAAGAAAATTGTTGGTTCACCTGCGTGCCGATAGAGGTCACTACTGTGTTTCGTTTGGCCAATCAGAGAGCAGCAACATTCTTCATATTGAAGATTTAGCGCTGGCTTATCGGAGCTCTACTGCCTCCTATTTACGTCGAATTTTCTTAAAAAATTAGTATATTTCGAAGAAAAACAATGTTTTTTCAACTTCTACAGCCAGCACCGACATTGTAGTAAACAAATATGTTACATTTGTTGTTTACCTACGTAATTCTAAGAGATACTGTGTAGCTGTCCTTGTTGCTCGGAAGATGCGCTGACAATTATTGTATATATTTACTGAATTTACCCAAGGACCACTAACTATCTAGTGACCTCGAAGAGGACAGAAAGCCGGCGGCTTGTTAAAGGGCCCGCTAATTGTCTTAATGATATTTTTTACCTGGAATTTGGCATTTACGGCTTCAGCGGGTAGGCGGTTCCATGGGTTTATAGCCCTCTTTGTGGAAAAAAACATCTGTTTTCAGTCCTACTTGAGAGAACATACTCTCCAACACTATATCTGTGATTGTCCTGTTATCAGTGACTTCATACCAAATGGTATGAGGTATTTTGAGCTCTGTAATTACTTCATACACTCAGGAATATTGGAAGATATTCTTGTGCTGCACCCAGATTTTGCCAGTGGAGGCTAATAGATCAGCATTAAGTATTTTGTTCTCTCCTAATTCCATGTATGACTGGCCATCCTGTGAGGTGAGGATGTTAGGTGAGCTTGTAGCTGGTTTTTGATCTACACTGTGTGGTCCTTTAGACAGAATAGGGAAGCAGCACATTGCTGTGTATACCTAAACATGTTTAAAAATACATTGTTTGAGAGGAGTTTTGTAGAAACTGGTAAGAGTAATTATAATATAATGTTTCCATGATTCAGTGCTTACCTCTTGTGAAAATTGCTTAGAGTTAAAATAAAAAATAAAATAAAATAAAATGTTTATTTAGGTAAGGTACATACATACAATAAATTTTTACAAAGATTGGTTGACTTATAGGTAGAGCTAGTACATACAATGCCTAAAGCCACTATTACGCAAAGCGTTTCGGGCATGATAAACTTAAATGACAAGCTTAATACTAATTGAGCATAATGAGTAGAATGAAAACAAGAAATGAAAACATAGATGAAAAGGCAGCACAAATACAATTATGTCGACAAACAGCGCTCTTTAAAAAAACAGACAATGGTTGACAATAGAAGGGTAAGGTAGGTTACAGGGAATTTATTAGGTATAGCTTCGTTTTTAACTTAAACTGGTTGAGAGAGGTACAGTCTTTAACATGGTTGGGAAGGTCATTCCACATTCTGGGCCCCTTGATTTGTAGAGCATTTCTAGTTTGATTAAGTCGTACTCTAGGAATATCAAAACTGTATTTATTTCTGGTGTGGTGCTCATGGGTTCTGTTACATCCTTCTATGAAGCTTTTGAGATCAGGATTGGCATTATAGTTTAGCGTTTTATATATGTATAATACACATGAGAGAATGTGCAGTGACTTAATGTCTAACATATTCAGAGATTTGAGTAGGGGTACCGAGTGAGGCCTGGGGCCAGAGTTGGATATTGTCCTAATAGCAGCTTTGTGTTGAGTAATTAGAGGACGTAAGTGATTTTGGGTAGTAGAGCCCCAAGCACAAATACCATAGTTGAGATATGGATATATAAGGGAGTAATAGAGAGTCACCAGGGCAGGGCGTGGTACGTAATATCTGATCTTAGAAAGAATGCCCACAGTTTTTGAAACTTTTTTTGATATATTTAGAATGTGTCCCTGGAAATTCAGCTTGTGGTCAATGAGAATGCCAAGGAATTTGCCATCTAATTTGTTACAAATTTGGGTATTGTTTATTTTGAGATTTATTTGATTAGAGGATTTATTGCCAAACAGAATATAGAAAGTTTTGTCAATGTTAAGGGTGAGTTTGTTGGCAGTTAGCCAAAGATGGACTTTATTTAGCTCGGTATTTACTGTGGCATTTAGAGCAAGGGGGTCAGGACTGGAGTAAATGAAGGTTGTGTCGTCAGCAAATAGAATTGGTTTGAGGTGTTGGGAGGCATTTGGAAGGTCATTAATGTAGATGAGAAAGAGGAGAGGGAGGAGGAGGAGAGGAGAGGAGAGTTGTTTAGTCAGAGTTGATTTGTTTTTTGTATTGAGGCTGGTATTTTCTAAATTGATTCCATGTACAGTATGTCTAACCATCCTGTGAGATGGGAGTATTAGATAAACTTATTGTGTAATATTCCATATAGAATAGGGTAGCAGCACATTGCTGTGTATACCTAATCTTCTTAATAAAAAAAATCAGTAATAAAGATTTTAAATTATAGTTTGTATTATTACAAATACAGTACTGTATTATCCTTATTAAATCATGTTGACCATGGATCATTAAGATCTCATGTTGATATGTAATACAAGTCATATTTCTTTTGAACTGCTAATCCATGCTAATCATTCATTAAATTGTGCATTATGTCTCAATTTTTCACTTCCTTGGATATACTGTACAGTACAAAAAGATAGGATAAAAATAAACCAGTAATATTTCTTTCATTATATTTTTCATTTAAATAACTGCATCAATATTTTTACAGCTGACAGGATTTGTTTTCCCATACAGGTGCATTATTTGTTAAAAAAAATTTGGTTTATTGTTACACACAATGGTACTACATAGCCTTCCCAGCTTGGTGCCTTCTTTTAATACTTACTGATTAAAAAATAAATAATAAATACATTTTATTCAGGAAAAGTATATACAGTTGATTTACAAACATAATGTTGGATTTATAGGCAGAGCTAGTACATACAATACCTAAAGCCACTAATACTCATAGCATTTCGGGCAAGGTGTGGGGGGAAAAAAACACAGACTAAAACTTAATAGTAATCGGGATTAGGTATAAATTGTGTTGAAAGAAGGAATAAAAAATACAAAAAGGGGGTTAACATAGCATAAATCAGCAATTTCACATGTTGGTGAACAGCGTTGTTTAAAAAATAGCAAGACATGGGTTGACATTTAGGAGGTAAGTTAGGTTACATGGAGTTAATTAGGCAGTACTTGGTTTAACTCTTAAACTGGTTGAGAGAGGTACAGCCTTTGACATGATTCG